TTAAATGTATTAATGCCTCAGTAAAAAAAGGAATGAAATGCCCTATAAAAAAGTGAAGGAAAACATGATTAAACTTTTTCCAAGTCCGTCCAACCGTGGCCTTGTTGTCCCAAGCATTCTTTGTTTTTTATTAGTTTTCGGTAATGTCTATTTCCAATATTATTTTTCCTATTTATTTATCTCTTTATGTATTAGTGGTTATCCTCAAACATTTACATCTATCTAGTTACATATTTATTCATATCCCTTTTTTATTCACCACTTTATCTATCATTTTCTACCTTGGGCTTTTCAAACGAAAATTGGGGGTTCCACATCGTATAATATTTGAGATTAGAAATTCCTTTTATCTTATCTTGAAGGGTAATCTTGGTTCAGGCGGGGGGGGGGGGATTGCGAGTTTTATGCTCTTGATATTTATTATTTTGTTGCAAATGAATGAGAGAAGTTGGGAGAAGGGAAAAAAGGAGAGGAAGAGAGAGGGAGAGGGAGAAGGAGAGAGGGAGGGAGGGAGGGAAGAGAGAGAGAGAGAGAGAGAGAGAGAGAGAGAGAGAGAGAGAGAGAGAGAGAGAGAGAGAGAGAGAGAGAGAGAGAGAGAGAGAGAGAGAGAGAGAGAGAGAGAGATTGAGTGCGAATGAGAGAGGCAGAAAAAATGACGGAGGGAGGTAAGGGAGGAGAGAGATTGGGGAAGAGGAGGGGAGAAAGAGGGAGAAAAAAGGAAGAAAGAGAGAGATAGAGACAAGGATAGACAGACGGAAAGACTGACAAACGAACAGACAATCAGAAAGACAGACATACAGACAGGAAATAGAAAGAGAGAACGATAAATTTTCAAATGAATAAGAACAGACAAACAGGTAAACACAAACGTGAAATCTCCGGCATGAAAATAGCCCCGAACACAAAATCCTCATATATCCACCCCACTGCCATGAGATCCCACGCACTCAGGGGGCCGCCCTCACCCGCATCTTCGAACCCCGCTCACAATGACGCCCATACACACAGCTTAGCACTTATCATCACAACGTACGCATAGAACGAATGACGTTCAGATTACACAGACGAGCGTTTTATCTGAGAGTTGCTGGGAATAACTGAGCCATCTCTCATTGTTAGACAGAGCACCGAGACGAGAATGAAAGCCTGTTGGTGATTGGTCAGTTCCAGGGAGAGTGGCTGCAGAAGGCGTTCTGCTCACTGGCTCACGTTGCTTACACTCTATACTCGATGTTCTTCGTCTTTTACACCCTGAGCGATGGCTATATTGAAGCTCCCTGTCTGTTTCGAAATGTCTCCTTCTTTCTGAAGGACTTCTCGGACTGGAGGTTTACGCCAGCTGGTAGTGTAAGAGGGTGTATAAAGAAATCAAACGAAGACGCAGAGACATAGAGAATAATAGAGAGTGTGTGTGTGTGTCTGTGTGTGCGTGAGAAAGAGAGAGAGAGATAGAGAGGGAGAGAGAGAGCGAGAGAGAGAGAGAGAGAGAGCGAGAGAGAGAGAGAGAGAGAGAGAGAGAGAGAGAGAGAGAGAGAGAGAGAGAAAGAGTGAGCGTTTGTATTCATGCATATGCATATATGCATATGTACATGTTGGTTGCATCTGTGTACATAATTAGGTCCATGTAAGCCTCCATAAACATAGACAAAAATAGATATTGATACAAGAAGCTGAACACTTGACACCCAAACTATCCTTGAAAGAAACTCTCAACCTCTCAAAGTCAGTTCCGGAGAGTTCCTGAGACAAAGAAAGTGTAATACTTGGACACTACAATATCACCTTTAGTTTAATGACGGCAGCAAAACAATGAAAGATAAACAATTCAAGTTGGTATGAAGTCTGAAATCTATCTATCGTCTTTGCGAAGGACGATAAGGAAAGCGAGTGTCAGTGGGATTGAGTCTCTCTCTCTCTCTCTCTCTCTCTCTCTCTCTCTCTCTCTCTCTCTCTCTCTCTCTCTCTCTCTCTCTCTCTCTCTCTCTCTCTCTCTCTCTCTCCTCTCTCTCTCTCTCGTCTCTCTCTATCTCTCATTCTCTCTTCTCTCTCTCTCTCTCTCTTTCAATCTCCCTCTTAATTTCTCTATCCCTTTCTCTATCCATTCATACATCCATGTATCTATCTATCTATCTACCTGTCTGTCTATCTATCTATCTAACTATCTATCTATCTATCTATATATCTATCTGCCCATCTATCTATCTATTCATATATCTTTAAATATATCATTTCCTCCTCGCCCTCACTACCGTCTTCCCTCCACTTCATCCGTTCCTTCCTCTCCCGTTTTTCTTCCCTCTTCCTTCTTCATTTCTCCCTCCTTTTCTCCTATCTTTCCCTGTTCCTCCCCCCCTTTCTTTCTCCTTCCTTGTCTCACTCCTCCTTTTTTCATTTCTTCCTTTTCATTCTCTCTCCCTTCAACCTCTCTCCTTTACTTTATCTTCTTTCTGTTCCCTTCTCCTCCTTCCTTCATCCTTTTCCCTTACTTCCTTCCTCATTA